GCTTGGGCAGTTGGCTCGGATGAGACGAGAGCCTGCGATGTAGTGGCGGGCGCGGCGAGGGCTCCGCTCACCTGCGCGGCCAGCGAGACCAGAGGATTGGCAGAGAAGGCAGTGGCAGGCATGGCGGTGGCGCTGTAGTCCGGGTATCCGTATGGCGCAAAAGCAGTGCTAGCATAGGCGGCGGGTGCCTCGGAAGCAGCCAGCGCGGCCGAGACGACGCTGTCCAGCGCCGTTGGTGCGTTGGATGTCGAAACGCTCGCCGATGCCTCGTCGTTCTCGACCTTGACCACGCTCTTCTTGCGACCGCGCGCGCGTGGCTTTTTGGCGGCAGGCTGGGGGTCAACCTCGGCTGTTGCGGGTTCGGTTTTGATCTGCGTCTTGACGTCTTCGTCTTGCGCCGAGGATGCGGTTGCCGAGGGCTGGACGGTGGCGGCTGCCTGGCCATAGGGCGAGGGGGCATCCATGGAGCCGTCGACGCCGCGATAGGGACGTGCAAAGCCGAGGTTAGGCGAATTGGTGAAGCCGAGGCCGGATGAGCTGGACCGGTAGGCGGCCGAATACGGGGGAATGCCGTAGGTGGGCATGCCCTGCTGGTAAAACGCGCTCGGCGAGGGAAAGCGATTCTCGTTGGAGCGATCCGCGTGCTTGTTGGCTTCGTCTGCGGCTGCGGCGGCGTGGAGGAGCGCAACGACGTTGTCGGCGTTGCTGGTGTCGCCGTAGTGCATCGAGGGGTCACCGGCGGGATGCGTTGGCGCACCTAGGCTCGATTCAAGTTCGAGGGTGGCGTAGTCGCGTGCGGCCGAAGAGGCGAAAGGCGAAGAGCGCGCGTCGGTGTACCATGGCGAGCCGTCGCGTCCCGTATAAGAGCCGGAATGCCTCCATGCAGATGAGGGTGGTGTGGCACGATAGCCGTCGCGGAGTGGATCGCGCTTGGGGCTGTTGACGTATGCCTCGCCGATGCGCGGCGAACTGGCGCTCAAAGGCTCACCGGCGGATGTGCGTCGAGTGGCAGCGTCTGCGGCGGCGAAAGTGTGGTGCAGGGGGGAGAGCATGTTGTCAGTATTGAGAAGGCTGTCGGAGAAGCGGATGAGTTCGGGAGAGGCCGCCATCTTTGCCCGATGCTGCTCCACGCCCGTGGTCGGAGTGGGTTGGGTGAGGTCAGGGTGGATGGTGGTTGTATGTAAGATGAGCAAGGCTGCGATCGGCGTCGCGTCCGAGGTGGGCGACGCAAGATGTCGTCGGGACAATCGCTCTAGGCAGGTGCAGGCGCAGTCGATACAACGATCGCAAACACGTCGCCGCTACCGCTGAGGAGACGATGTGCCTGAACGAGTCTCGTGAACGATGAGCCGTAATCGAAGCTCGGCGTTCAGACTTGCGCCTAGGTCTGGCGAGGCTCTGAAGCTGTCGTGGGTTGAGGCAGCTGCTACGCGGTAGGTTTGCGAGGCGGAACAGAGGGCGGGAGGAAGGATGCGGTGGGGATGGAAGGTGGGGGAGGGAAGGTGGTCGGTGCGAGGCAAGGAAGCGGCGGCAGGGCGAGCGGGCTGGTCTGGGTGGAGTAGCGGGCAGAGGCGAGCGAGGCTGGACGGCCGTCGCGGCGGGCAGTGCCACGGATCCAAACAAAGCAGGCTGCGACGAGGCAGACGGAAGATGCAGAGGGGGTCGGAAGGGGGGACACCTGGAGGAAAGCGGCTGCGCGGCTGGGACTGAGCGACCAAAGGACTCTGAACGGACGAAGGATTGCCGCGGGAGGGGCGTGAGATGCAGACGCAGCGAGGGCAGCGGAAAAGGCAGGGCGAGGCGGAGCGAGACAAGGGCTTTGGAAGAAGAGCTGCGGGAGACGAGGCCCTTGACTGGGTGCTGTGCTGAGCTTCTGCCGGTGTGGTGTGTGTGTGGGCTTGAGCTGCAGCTGCCACGGCCAGTGACCCAGAAGGCTGATTCCGCAGGATGACGGCAGGCGGCGCGGGCAGGCAGGCAGGCGAGCGAGCGGGCCAAGGCAAGGCAAGGCAAGGGAAGGCAAGG